CAATTCCTAGGTATTTTATTTTCTTCTGTAGTTGGAAACCTGATGTTTCTTGTAGCTGAGTTGTCCTCTCCTCTTCCATATTTTTGGTCATTATCTTCGTTTTATTGATATTAATTCTCAAACCAGCTACAAGTCCATAGTCTCCAAGTTCTTGTTTCAAAGAAAGAATTGATTCCAGGGGGTTCTCCAATATAAATACTAGGTCATCTGCAAATGCCAACAGTTTATATTCTTCTCCTTTTAGTTTCAGGCCCATAATCTCCTTCTTTTCTCTTATTGAGTCGTTTAGTATTTCCAGTACAAATATAAACCACAAAGGTGATAAAGGGCATCCCTGTCTCGTCCCTTTTTGGATTTCAATGTATTTTGTCTGTTCCCCATTAATCGTTACCACCGCCTTTTGTTTAGTATAAATTGCCTGAATCATCTTCACAAAGTTAGTGCCAGCCTGTGCCTCTTCCAAAGCTTCATGAAATTCCAGTTAACGTTGTCAAAGGCCTTTTCCGCGTCCAAAAATATTAGCGCCAATGGTTTTTCCGGATGTGCTTCATAATACTCTATTACATCCAGAATGCATCTTAAGTTGCTTTTTCTTCCAGGGTCCCTTTTCCTTTGAGGAGTTGGCTGTCTATTTCACCGACGGTGAGTGGGCCCTGCTGGATCCGGGCCAAAGAGCTCTCTACAGGGAAGTCATGCTGGAGAACTATGGGAGTGTGGCCTTTCTGGGTAAGGATCTTTCATGGGTGCCAAAGGTGCCAATTGCTGCCATAGGGATGAGGTGTGAATCAATATGGAACACAAATGCATCGTTTTCAGATCTGCCCCACTACTTGTCCCCTGTTTGGGGTCTCGAGGAGTCAGGGTGGCAGTAAATGTGAACTTCAGCATGGCCTGGGAGAGCGACCCAACCCACTTGGCTGGCCCAGGGGCAAGTGAGGCCTGTGTTGTGGCCAGCAGCCAAGCCAGAGAGGGTGTCCTGGCCTGGAGCCCAGGAGAGACCGAGAGGCCCTCAGAAAAGGGTCTTTGACCCAAATCACTCATGGACACCCCCCCCTCTGTGGCTAGCAAAAGTATCCTCCTGCTAGCAAAGAGAAAATGCACATATTGTGGGGTATTAATTCCCGAGATCGTAAACCTATGTCTACCAGGGTCGAGATACAGACCAGCACTCAAAGGAAATGAAGGATATGAGCTCCTTAAACAAGAACATAAATTCATTAAGTTAACAGAAAGAGAACTAGGTTAGGTCAGGGAAATAAAAACAGAGGTGCTACTGAAAGGAAATAAATGCACGTGTGAAGTGCAAACACAGTTTAAGCTCTTTCCCTCACAAACTTCCTTCTACTAAGGGGGGAAATAAAAGGGAAGAATGAAAGGCATATTAGCCTGCTTCCTGAAGACAGTTGGGCAGCTCTGGCGAAGCACAGCAGAATAGGGTGGAACAGTAGAGAAGCCAGCCATACAGTTGGGGGAAGAGGCTGGGATCCAAAACCTGCTACAGACTGGATGGACCAGGGGATCACTTTTTATACATTTCTGTATAAATTGGAATGTAGGAGTGATGAAAAGTCCATCTTTCGACATGAGTTAATTTGACAAGGAGTCAAATTGTGGAGGGGAGTTCTTGTTTTGCATTACAGGTAAGAGTCTCAAGGAGAAGTGTTTCTTTAGAGAGACTGAAAGTTTAGATAGGCAAGTAGATGGCTGAGTAGATGATCAAGCAGGAAGAGAAATATTCCTCTCCATTACTTGAAATAATGAAGCAAGGCCTTGGGCTGGCCCATTGCTTATTGTCTTGATTTTTTGGGTTGTTATTCAGGCCAGATGATCGGAGAGGGAACCTCTTAGATCTTTGGGGAAAAGGCCCTTTGGTTGACTCCCACCACCAGATACGGCTTTCACTTGATCAACATAGGATTGCATGGGTAATGGGGAAACAGAGGAGGGATTAATTAAAAACAGCCAGGCTGAATGAGGCAAAAGGGTCATCAACACGTCTCTTCAGTCATCACCTAGATGCCTTAACCCTCCCCCCCCAACAATGGATATCCCTTTCAAAAAACCATGGGGGTGCCCTTTGAGTTGTGGTGTTCACTTGGTGAAGTCCTGGCTTCTACCACCCCCCCACCAAACATGTTTGGGGGGGGAGAAGTTCTGCCAAAGGAATGTACAGTTGTGAATGAGGAGTGTCTGATTGGTGACTTCGCTTCCGGTGTAGGTGCTGATTGGATCTCTACCTTGATTCCATCAGCAGATATAGAGTAGACACTTAAAGCATTCCAGGGGTGCTTTGTGGAAAACACCAAGAATGAAGAGGTTGAAGGAAACTTCAGAGATGGACCACACAGGCAGGCGATAAGCCACTTTTAACATGTATATTTAACATGTACATTTCAACATACCTGCCTTGACGGGGAGGGCAGGGTACAAATCAAATAAATAAATAAATATGAGGCAGCTCCTAAAACGCTTTGAGTGTGGATGGAATTTCCAATGCAAATCAGACCTCCTTGTACGGGTGCTAATGGGATCTGTCTCTTTATTCCAACAGAAGATGATCAGAGGAATGAGGAGGATAAGGAACTGCATCATCTGTCCCCAGATGAAGTCAAGAATGAAGACTTGAGAGGAAACTTCAGGAATCAAAGCAGACCCATGAGGCAGAACGAAAGTCATAAAGTTGACAAGAGGGATGAACCTATTCCTTGCCAAGGGGGGGATTTCGGTGAAGTAATTCACATCGTGGAGGAAACATACAAGTGCTTGGAGTGTGGAATGACCTTCTCAGACCACACCCAATATAGTATCCATCTGCAAAGGCAGAGTGGAAAGAAGACCCATCAATGTTTGGAATGCAGTGCAGAGCTCCTTAAACATCAACAGACACATACAGGAGAAAAACATTATAGTTGCTCAGATTGTGTTGAGAGTTTCTCACAGAAATTGGACCTTATTAACCACCAAAGTATTCACTCAGGAGAGAAGTCATTTATCTGCTCAGAGAGTGGAATGACATCCCGTGATGGAAGACAGTGTAATGTGTATTTCCCAAGGAACATTGTAGTGAAGGCATGTAAATGCTTTCGGTGTGGAAGGTACTTTAAAAACAGATCAGAGCTCCTTGTGCACCAAAGAACCCACACAGGAGAGAAACATTTTGAATGCTCAGAGTGTGGAAGGAGATTCAGTCAGAGTGGCCATCTTCAACAACATCGAAGAACCCACACAGGGGAGAAACCTTTTGAATGCTTGGAGTGTGGAAAGAGATTCAGTCAAAGTGGCCATCTTCAACGGCATCAAAGAACCCACACAGGGGAGAAACCTTTTGAATGCTCAGAGTGTGGAAAGCGATTTTGTTACCGTAGCAATTTTCAACGGCATCTAAGAACCCACACAAAGGATAAACCATTTGAATGCTCAGAATGTGGAAAGAATTTCAGTCAGCTTGGCAGTCTTGAACAACATCAAAGAAGCCACAGAGGGATGAAACATTTTGAGCGCTCATAGTGTGGGAAGAGATTCATTGGGGCAGGCAATCTTCAGCGTCATCAAGAATCACACAGAGGTGCAAAACCTCTTGAACGTTCAGAGTGTGGAAAGGGATTCAGTCAGAGTGGCCATCGAAGTTGTGCACCAGCATCAAAGAACCCAAATAGTGGAGAAACTTTTTGAATGCTCAGCAGATGGAAAAATATTCAGTCGAGTGGCCCTCTTCAGAAGCATTTAAGAACTTAGGGGAGAAACTTCTTTTGATATTTCGTGGCCTAGATCTTTTTTCCATACCACTGAGTTATGATTTTGCGTTTCTTCTGACAGGTAATTCTCTAGCAGTATTTTGTACATTTTTTGGATCATTTTGTCATTTGATGAGAGCCAGATCTTATCTAGCTCGTTTTTCTCTGGGTAGAAGCCTACTTTCAAGTCTATCTGGTATCTTGATTTTAGCTGGGTTTTTTCCCACCCCGATAATTTCAAGTTACATTCTGACAGTAATTTCTCATCTGCTTTCAGGTGGTTTGCCTCATCTAGTAGTTTTTCGTATGTTTCTTTATTGTACTTGGTAAGGAAGGCTGGTCTTATAAAGGCTTCTAAGGGGGACACCCATTTTGGTATTTTAGTGTAAAATTTGGTTCTAACTTCATTCCATACCTTTGACAGAGCCCCCCTTAGGATGTGATTTTTAAAATGTAGATGGGTTTTATCTTTCCCATACCAGATGTACGCGTGCCAGCCCATTACTAGGTCTGATCCTTCTAGAGTTAGGCCTCTCACGTCTTCCAGCTTGATCCATTCTTTTATCCAGTCTAGGCAAGGCGCTTGGTAATATATTTTCCAATTTGGTAAGGCAAGGCCTCCCCTGTCCTTTCCTTCTTGTAATAATTTTGCTCTAATTCTTGGTCTTTTGGCATTCCAAATAAATTTTTTTGTTATCTTCTCTAGATCTTCCAAAAACTGGTTCCTTTTCAGAACTGGAATATTCCGAGCCAAAAATAAAAATCTCGGTAAAATGTTCATTTTGATCGTTGCAACTTTCCCAGATAACGAAAGGTGTAAATCTTTCCACTTATTCAGGTCATCCCTTATTTCTTCTAGCAGTTTGTAGTAGTTTTCTTCAGTTAAAGCACTGTTTCTGTTTGTCATTATTATACCTAGGTACTTTATCTTTTTGACTACCTCCATCGAAGTTATCTCGTGCAATTGTTGCTTGGTAGCTGCATCACAGTTCTTTGTTAGTAGTTTTGTTTTTTTGTAATTTATTCTCAGGCCCGCCACCTTCCCATATTCTTGAAGGAGTTTTAAAAGTTCTTGGCTAGATTCTTTTGGGTCTTCTAATATGAACAATAGATCATCGGCGAAGGCCAGCAGTTTGTATTCCTGGCCTTTTATTTTCAAACCTTTGATGTTTTCATTTTGTCTTATTAGGTCATTAAGTGTCTCTAGCGCAAAGATAAACAGTAAAGGCAACAGGGGGCAGCCTTGTCTTGAGCCTTTTTGAATTTCGATGCTTCGAGTTAGGTCCCCATTTATTATCTGGGCATGTTGTTTTTCATATATTGCTTTGATCATCTTTCTAAACTTATCGCCACACTCCGTTGACTCTAATTTTTGCAAAAGGAAGGACCATGATAGATTATCGAAGGCCTTTTCTGCGTCTAGACACATCAATGCTAGTTGTTTCCCTGGTTGAAGTTCATAATACTCTAACACATTAATGACCGTTCTTACATTGTTTTTCATTGATCTTTTGGGTAGAAACCCTGATTGGTCATGATGGATTGTTTGTGTTAAGACTCTTTTCAATCTGGTAGCCAGGATGGTTGCAAATATTTTATAATCTATGTTCAAAAGTGATATGGGTCTATAGTTTTTTATCTGGTTCTTCTCCGTCTCTACTTTTGGTATTAGTGCTATGGCTGCCTGGTTCCATGATTCGGGTACTTTCCCTAAATCCTCTACATTCTGGATCACCATCTTCAGTGGAGATAACAATTGTTCTTCAAACACTTTAAAGAATTCCGCCGGGATGCCATCTGGGCCCGGTGCTTTCTTGGATTTCTGCTTCTTCAATGCTTCTGATATTTCGGCTGCTGTGATTGGGTCATTAAGGATATGTTGTTGTTCCTGATTGAATTTTTGTTTGTTGTTAATTTCCAAGTACTCTTTAATTTTTGACTCATCTTCTATGTTTCGTTGGTATAGATTTTTGTAAAACTTCTCCGCAATTTCTTTTATATCTTGCAGTTTAAATTTTTCAATATCATTATCATCTTTCAGGGTGATTATGGATCTTTTTTCTTTTTCTTTTCTCAATCTAAACGCTAACCATCTTGAGGATTTATTCGCATTTTCGAAATGGTATAATTTTGCATATTCTATCTTTTTCGCCAATTCTTGAATTATTATCAAGTTTATTTTATGTGTTAATAATTTTAGCCTGGTTTGTATCTCTTCTTTGTTAGTTCCCTTTTGTAGCTCCTCTTCTTGTTTTTTAATTTGCTTGCCTAGTTCTTTATACGACACATTCTTTTGTTTTCTCTTCCAGGCATCTTGGTTTATGAA